CCCAGATCCAGAAAGGCTGCATGTGTGGAGGCCTGTAGAGCTGCAGAGGGAGTTCTGGGTGGGGGTTGCACAGCCTGAGCATAGGAAGCAAGGTGGGCAAGTGGGGGCCCTGGTGAGGACATCCATCAGCTCTTCCAGATCGCCTTGACCACCCCTGCAATGGCTCCTCACACCACCCCATTGGCTCTTCCCAGTCTTCCCGGTCTCCCCTCCCCAGTTCAGCCTGCCCCCATCTGGCAGTGAATCCTAAATCACAAATCTCATCCCTCCCCTACTCCTATCTCCAGAATAAAGTCCACATTCCTTAGCATGATCTTTGAGACTCTTTCCTCTCCCATCTGGCCCCCACCCCTTGTGGCCCCCTTCTCTCCCTCCCCTCCAGCCACATGAGCTTCCTCCCTGGCTCCCAGTTACCCCATCTCTCCTCTGCCTCCAGGCTTTGCTTGATCTGATCCCAACGCCCTTTCCACCCTCCACTTGGCAAGCACTTATCCACCTCAAAGCCTCACGCACATGGCACCTCCTCTCAGGAGCCTTCCAGGCCGCTCCACAGGCAGAGCAGCTGTTCTCGCATCTCTCGCCAGTGACAGTCTCAACCTTCCCGACTCCAGGGCTCGGTCCAGCTTTGTGGGTTGTGATTTTGTCTCCCAGGAGAGGGTGAGCATTTGTCTGTTAAGGTTTGGACTCTAGAGTCCAGCCTGACAGGGCCTGCGATGCAGGAAACAAAGGCAAATTGCATAATTTGGGGGCATATGGTGAAGGTAGGGTTCGTCAGACACCAAGATAGATGAGATGCTCTGGCCCACAGCAGTGGAGAGCTGGGGCTGAGGGACAGGCCCAGAGGACTGAGAAGGCCTGCAGCTTGGGAGGCCCACAGGAGAAAGGGGAATCTGAGTAGCCTTATAAGATATTTAGGGTTTAGACAGGCCAGCCATGGTAGCTTGCTTTTATCGGTTTGCCAACTCTGGACAAAGTGGTACATAGCTTCCAAGAGTGCTGTGGGGAGCAGAAGTCTCACGTGATAACAGCCTAGGAGGCAAGTGTGGCAGGACCAGTTGGCCCTTTGGGGCGGGGGGCACTCACTCTGTATCCGTCTTTGGATGGAGAAAAGAGCTGATGGTTCTTCAGGGGCCCACCTGCCATCTTCCCCGTTTGCCCCCACGTAGAGGAACCTGTTCGCAGTCCTCCACCCCATCCCACCTGCTGTCTGCTGGCTAGTCGGAAGCCAGCCCTGCCCGAGAAGGCTCTTCCTGCCAGAGACCCCAAGATCCAGGGGTTAGAAATGTCCCTCGGTGAGATCAGGTCTTGGGGTCCTCAGGTTGGGGACCATGACAGCCACTGGGGCGATTCTCTGGATTGTTATGGCCAAAAAACTCGTTTAAGACAAAAGAAAGGGGACCAAGTGGGTGGTGGGAAGAAAGCCTCAGTTGCATCTCTGTTCCTCGGTGGTAATTGAAATGGTTAATTAGGGGCGTGGTCCCTCTCCCCGGCTGGCCAAATGTGGCCCCTGGAACCGCAGATGTGGGGGTTGGATGGCTTCTGCTTTCCTTGTAATCACTTCCAAAAGTGGGCTGCACTCCTGTCGTGTGCCCAGCATGTGGACAGGTGATTTGGGGCAGGGCTGAAAAGCCCTGGGCTGGGCATGGAAGCAGGAGGCCGAGCTCTGAGTCCCCTCACACCGAGCTGGGGTGGAAGCTTGCGCCCGGGACAGTGTGGAAGCGGTGCTGTGCCGTCTGCCTCTCGGCTCTGATCGGCTTCCCCAGGCCTCGCCCGTCCGCCGAGCAGCTGCCCCCGCTCTCAGGCCCACGTTGCAACCGGCTCCCGAGTGTAGCCCTGGCCTCGATCCCTGTGGGTGCAGCTCAGGATGATAGGCGAGGTCTGTGAGTCTTGCCTCGTGGCAGACAGGACAACACAGGGTGGAGCTTTTCTCTGATACCTGGCCCTCCTTGAAAAGAGAAAAAATATGTCTTCGAAAGAGACTGAAAAATGGTAGGTTCTTCTAGTCTTTAAAAAAAAAAAGAAGTCATCTCATTTCCCCTCTCAGAAAAGATACCGTTGATGATGGGGGAGGGACTGGAGTGTCAAATTGCCGAGAGCGTTTTTAATTTCTGCACAGAGCTTTGTTCCGTGGCTCAAGGGCCTGGCCATTGTAATCCTCTTGTCTGGCTCCCGCTGAGCAGGTTCTTCTAGCCCCTGAAGGAATTCCTGAGAGGCGGCTCCGACGATTCCCACGCTTCTTGGTTTCACTCGGGAGCACAGCTGACGGGTTTCAGAGTGTCTGGCGTGGACAGTGGTCAAAGGATGTTCCTTATCAGATAAACGCTGGAGATGCCCTGTGATCCACCTCCAGCCAGAGACACAGTGAAATGTCATCCCACCAGTTATATGTTTGCCTGTGTGTGTCCCTGTTGTTTGCCTGTGTGTGTACCTCTCCAAACTCGGGCCACCTTTGCACCCTTTGGCCCACCCGGCTTCCAGGATTCATTTCTCTGTTTAAGTGGATGATGGTTGTCCGAAGGGCCCGACGGTCGCCCACTGTGAGGGACATCCTGTACAGGAAACACTAGTACTGTGGGAAGAGGTTGGTAATTACTATACCCATTTGACAGACAAGGAAACTGAGGGTCAGAGAGAGAAAGTTACTTGCTCAAGGTCAGATAGCTGACTCAGCCAGGGTTTTAAACTAGATGCTATGGACTCTAGACCTTGTGCCCTTTTCACTCCACCCGTCTAGAGCACTTGAACTCTGCATAGGGGCAGGAGTTGGGGTGGGCTTCGCTCCCACGGCAGGCTGTGCTGGGCGGGACTCCCAGGGGATGCCGAGTTGAGAGGGATGCCCTCGCTGGGCCTTGGAGTCAATGTGCTGGGCAGTGTCACTCACTCTATGTCTTCAGCGTGAAATGCTCACTTGTATTTGGTTGTCCTGTCCTTAAATCCCAGGAACCCCCAAACTCAGAAAACTTAGCGAAACCTCTGGAAGAAAAGGGGGTGGAAGAATCGGTCAGCAGTAAGAAGAAGGAGAAGAAAAAACACGTGGACCACGTGGAAAGCTCAGTATTTACAACTGTTCGATCCTCAGATGACCTAGAAGACGAGCCTGGTGCCCACAGGGTCCTCTCCAGGTATTTTATTACCCTCTTCTCACCCTAGAGACCCAGCTAGAGAGAGGGACTCTCCGAACCCGTTGTATTGTCAGTTTCTGATGTACTGGGGTTCAGGGGCGGGGCTGACAGCAAAGGAAACTGTAAGAACATTCATACAGGTTCATACAGGTCACCTGGCAAGGTGGCCATGGGCCAGAGTCAGAAACACAGATGCCTCCTCAGCTCTCCACCTGGGTCCCCGACCCGACCTCGCCTTGCCCAGACCTGCTGATAAGGCGTCACGCTCGCCTTGTCTCCTCCCTCCAGGTGCCCTTGGGTGGGAACTAGCAGTGAGCAGAGAAATGGCTGGACCATAGGTAGGTGTGGGTGCGAAAAGCAATAGACTTGGAGACTCTGCTGGCCACGCCGGCCCCTGGAAAATCAGTTAGAGAGCAAACTTAGCTGATTATTAGCGTCTTCCAGACCTGGAAGGGACCTGCTGCATGTGTGCGGAGGGGAGATTTCATCGCTGTCACATGGAATTTGGACTTTCATATTATGGCTTCGCCCATGAGTTTGGTTCTAAAAAACTACGGATGGTTCCTTTAGCTCAGGGAGGATAGTGAACTTGAACTGATCAATAGGAGGCTTGTTGCAGACATCTGCTCTGTCACTCCAAGGTCACTGGATGGGCCGGATTTGTCCCAGGGAAAATATTTAACGGCTGACTTTCAGAAGTCTCTGGTTTCTCCCCATTGTCACTCTTCGTCACAGTAGTCACTGTGTACGAGCCCTGTGTGTTCAGGCATCTCCCATGCATTTCCTCAACTCTCACGGGCACCTCCATTGGCGGGGAGGTGGGATCGCGCATCATTATGGTGGACGAGGAGACTTGGGGCACCTCTCAGCTTAGGAGGTGGCAGAGCTGGGGTCCTGGACTCAGACCTGTTGGACTCCACCACCCGCTTTCTTTTCCTGACCCCTCATTGCCTGTGGTGGGTGAGCCAGAATGGCTGCAAAGGGAAGTTGTTGAGATTTGCATTTGGGGAGTGAGTGAGGAGAAGCCCAGACAGGGAGAGCCGGGCAGGAGCTGGCGGGTGCCCAGCTTGCCATCTCCCCTCTGCCTTGCCTCCGTGCGGGGCTGTGGGGCACAGAGGAAGGGTCGTCTGGAGCTGGGCTGGGGAGAGGTAAGGCACAAAGGAAGAGTCGTCTGGAGCTGGATTGGGGAGTGGGAGACTGCTGCCAACTTTGGCCAGGACTCTCAGAGTCCCTCTCCTGCCCCTTTCAAGACTATCTGGCAGACATCTATGTCCTAGGGTGTAGCTGGACCCTGCTATAAGTGCTGGTGAACACTTATGGGCACGTGGCCCAGGGCTGTCACCTACTTTATCACAGCTTGCGGAGGGGCCATTGGTCACTTGCCAGACCACTCAGCGCCTCCCTAAGCAAGTCAGTTCTCAGTAATCTGTGCAGCCATGGTGCGATGGAGTCTGCTGAACTTGGGGACTTCCGAGGAGGTCAACCACGGCGTGATTCAGGCACAGCTCCATCCCCCAGGGCCTCGTAGCTACAGAGAGAGAAGACGGCTCTAAGACGGCTCCGTCCAGTCTGCCGGGACTAGGACTGGAGGGGACGCCTTAGGTGTCAAGAGGCAAATGGAGATTTCACAGTTTAGAGCTCAGAGGCAGGTGGAGGGTCAGGGCTGCCTGGGGCTGACCTGTCATTTGTGGTGAGCGTTGAGGGCTAAGTGGGATTTGGATCTGGGAGAGGGAGAGAAGGGAAGGCAGTCCAAGTGAAAGAAAGAACCTGAGCAGCTGGCACGCTGCGGGCACTTGGTAAATATCTGTGGGATGTAAGGATGGGAGGAGAAACAGGGAACGTGGGGGGCAAGGGAGCCTCTGGGCTGGTGCTGCATCAGGAGGCCCCAGCAAAACCCGTCCCCACGGAGGTGAGACACGGGGGGAGGCAGGGGAAAGTAGACCACGTTTCAGCATATGTGGGAAGAGGCCTGGCTGACCGTTCACTGCAAAGGTTTCTCTCGATCTCAGCATGGACCAGGCAGCAGCTCCCTCCCCAGGTCCCCCTCCCGGCACACTGAGGGCAGAGCTGTAATTAGAGGGAAACAGTGCGGCCCCGTGAAAGCTGCGTGCCACTCGGAGGCCGAGGGCGTGGATGCGCTCATCGGCGTGGGTGAGCCCAGGAGCCCCTCCCGTGTGCCAGGCCACGGCACCTGCTCCCTGCAGTGTGGGTGGTGCTGAGTTTAAAGTCAGTACCTGGCCCGAGGCTACTGAATGGGACTTCGCTCTGAGCATCTCTTCCTGGCTGCACCTTGACTCTGTCACCGCCTGTGGCTTCCTGTTGGTCTCGGCAGAAAGGGCCGTTGTTCCACAGTCCACAGGACCCCTCATGACCTGTCTCCCAGCTTCATCTCCATCCACCCTCAGTGACCCTCTCCCCGTATCCCCAGTGCCCCAGGCACCCTGGTCTTAGTTGAGGTCCCTGGATGCCCACCCCTCACCCAAGCTCCTTCACCTTTGAGGACCCTCTGTCCCCTTCCTGTCTCCTGCCTCACTCCCTTGGATTCCAGCTTCACTCTCACTTCCTCCAAGCAGCCTTCTTGGATTCCTCCAGGCTATTTTTGACCCGCCTTTATATGTTTTCATAGCCTCTGCTCTTATCAAAACAGTAGTTTCTCTAATAATTTGTGTAAGAACGTATTTACCATGCGTTCTTCACCTGGATGGTGAGCCAGTGCCCTGGAGGCAGGGAGGCCACACCAGCATTGCCCCAGCATTTAGCACAGCCCCTGGCTGTAGCTGGCATTCAGGATAAATCCTTTGGGTGAATGAATGAATGAATGAATGTGCACTCTCAGTCTGTGACTGGCTCCTGGGAAGCTGGGCTCTTGGCACCTAGCGCAGTGCCTGGCACCCAGTAGGCTCTTGATGGTGCTGAGAGAATGAAGTTAGGACACAAACCTGAATAAGTCTCCCGCTGATTATACTCTAACACAAACACCACCTAAAAAAAGCATGCTGGGAAAAGGGTCGGAGGGAAGAGCGAGAGACGCCTCCTCGTGGGGATGCGCTTTTTGCTAGAACACATCACAAACACAGGGAAAGAGTGCCCCCCCCCCAGGTTCTTCAGTGCGCCATGTCAGCTTACAGACACCGCACCGGGGTTCTTTTTTCTTTGTGGGTACATCTTGTTTCATTTCTATGCCGTGATACCAGCCAGCAAAAGCTAGCACAGGTTTTGGATTGAGGGCAAGGACTGAAGTTTCCCCTAGGCCTGGCCCAGCACCTGGCACAGAGTAGGTGCCCAGTAACTATTCATTGGAATGTGCCCAGTGCAACAGAAGAGCAGGTTGAAGTTTCCAGAACAGTGGTGGGCGGGGAAACCAAGACTGCCGATGGTGAATTCCTTTGGGATAAACTCTTGCATCAAATGCCATTTTTCTGGACCCCAGGATGCCACATAGTAGGTTTCCCTGGAGGAAACTGAGATGACTGTCTCTGTACCAGGGCACATCCGTACCCAACACCTAGTTCTCCTGTCGAGCAGCGAGGCAAGGCCACTTTGACCTACAGGATGCTGTTATCACGCCCCACCCCAGCTCTGTGAAGTGAGGTGTGGGGGGTGGGGGTGATGATCCATTTTAGAGATGAGGAAAGTGGATCCGAGATGAAGTACTTGGCTAAGGTTTCCGCTTAATCAAGGAGCCAGGATGACTGCCCAGGCCTCTGGCTGGTTCTCGTTCGCCTCAGTCCTGGGCAGCCAGCTTTGTTAGAAGGTCAGAGATCTCTTCCATACCAGCCTCAAAGACGTGGCCAGAAAATTAGCCTCCTCGCACATGAGAAAAGCTAGACAGGTAGACCGCAGCATGGTGCACAGGACACAGCCCTGGAAAGGGGGTTGGACACCACGTCCTGGCCCAGGTCTGGCCTTAGCTAGCAGAGGGTGTCCGGCAAGTCCCCAGACAGGGATGCTTGGAAAAAAAGATCCCTTCCTGCTTAGAAATCCTATGATTTTCAAGACTATGTGGTCTGCTTTCTATTTAAAATTCTTTCTCACTGTGTTTTCTTGTTGACGAAGGCCCAGTGTCTCTCTCTAATATCCATCCTAATATCTGTAAGAACACTCCAGCCCAAAGGGACATAGTGGGTAAAATGTCTCATTTCCGTCACTGGGTCCGAAGCCATAGTTTGCAGAAGCCTCAAAAGGGGGCAGGGAAGGAGGCACCCAGCTGAGCCACAAGGAGCTCTTGGTGGCACCAACTCAAAACGTGTGTTTATTTTTCAGGACTAGCCACAGCGACTCCAGCATTTACATTCGACGACATACTAACAGGTCTTTGGAATCGGTTAGTATGCGAATTTCTTCTTCTTCCGAGCGCCACTGCTAATCAATTCCTTTCCATCCCTCCTCCCCAGCATGCAACAGCTATACTTTTGGATGGAAGGCAAGCAAATTGATATCTTGTTGTTAAGCACAGTCCAGTCGGATGTCCAGTTTGGGCAATAGGGGATGTAAATAAAGTGATTTTAAAGCCCGAAGGTCTCTTTGTTATATAAAAAAAAAAAAAAATGCATCCAACGCCCCCACCCCCGCACCCCCCCCAGAAAGATGGCATTCAAAGACCAGTGCGACAGGAGTGGAGGGTCCCGCTTTACATTTGCAACAATGTAGCTCTGGTTGTGCGGGGGACCGAAGCACCCTGTCCCACAGCCCCGATTCCGGTGCTGGGGCCACCCGTGCGTGGTGGCCCGGGGAGGGGGTGGGATGACCTGGAACATTGCTTAGCACTTTGACTCGGGAACTAGATGTTTACAGTATTGAGGGAAGCATGGCATGCTCGGCTTTGTGCGTTTAAAATTGTTTTATTTTCCGTTTCAGAGATTTCATCTTTACTAATTGGGTTGCGGGGGGTTTTGTTTATAAATCTCACCGTAGGATCATTCTAGCTATGTTCAGTTGAGGAATGCAGCCGATCTGGATGACAGGAGACACCGAATGTTAACCAGGTTGGTGGGGTTTAAAAAAATGTTTTCTTTTTTAATTATGGAGCTTACCTT